GAGGGCAGGAGGACAAAGGAAGCCTAAGACATAAAAAAGCAAATTCTAGGAATACCAGGATACCAGCTATGGACCCCTTCTCCCTCCCAGGAGAAGTCTTTGTTACCCTTTTTAAATAAACCATGCTTTATTTATATGCTTACCTTATTTATATGCTTGCCTTAACATGTTTCCCTAATGTTCAAACTTCAACTTGTGAGGCAGCAGAACTCATCACCCATGATAACCGCAGTATCAGTACTTGCTGATTCCCTGCCCACTGTGAGCTGACACTTGTGGAGATTTGAGTTTTTCTGAACCTTAAGGAAAAAGACCAAGATTGAAAGGGTGAAGAATGAAGGAGGTGGAAATTTATAATCCCTGGGGCAGAATGGGGGGGAAAGGAAACTGAGGACTCTGACCTTTAGCAATTTCCCTTATCTGCCAAGTTCCCCTGCCTGCCAAAAGTATCTGATAAACTCCTCCTATGATGTGGCCCTGCTAAACCCCTATAAAACTCAGACTCTTGTTGTAGCCATGTGCCATTTTCCCCTTGATAATGTGCCCCTCCACTGCTTAATAAAAAGCATCCCTGATCCGTTTGAGGCTTTTTTATTTATTTATTTATTTTTATTTTTTTATTTTTATTTTTTTGGTATTCTCTTTGATTTGCTTTCAAAGAAGTCCAGCAATAGAATCCTTTAAACCTAGGTTCAAATTCTGATCCCACCACTCTTCAGTTAGGGCCTAGGACAATTTTTTTTAACCTCTCCAAATTCTGATCCCACCACTCTTCAGTTAGGGCCTAGGATAATTGTTTTTAACCTTCCAAATCACGATAATAACGTGGTGTCTGTTTCATATAGAATGACTTCACATAAAAAGTCTGGACATTTCTGCTATTACACTCATGTTAGACAAATGGGACTAATTAGCCACCTTCTACTTTTCTGGAGTATGTATGAAACAATTGAGGACATGGATAAAGAAGAAACTAATAAGACTGCAAGAGATTGACTAGTTAATATGTGTTCACCCCAATCTTCTCATATCATTTAGCACTTGATAAGTACTTACTTGGATGAGTGAAGACAGATCTAGGGAGAAGGAATTGAGACTATAACAGTAAAGAGAAGAATCTGATGGATTAATTTAGCTAAGTGACAAGTGAAACAGCTTTTTCTGAAGGAACTATATGAAACATCTGCCTATTTCAAGGGCTGCCACTATCAGAATTGAGGAGATCTCAGAACAAATATTAAACACCTAAACCAAGGAAGCTTTACTGTTTTGGGCAGAAAATATGATAATAACAAGAAATCTACAACAATATGATCAGTACAAAATGAAATGATAAAATCTGAGGGAGAGTTAACAAGCTGTTATAGAATAATAGACCAGTGCTTAGAATGAGTAGGGAATAACAAGACAAGTACTTTGACTTCAGAGTACTGGGGAAATGTAACTAAATGACTAAGTAGGGAGATGGATATTCTGGAGAGCAATAAAAGGCAGATGGGACTGCTGATAGTAGGAAAAAAAACATTTAAATGTCAATACAGGAATAATTACTTATACTGTGTCCTATTGTAGATTACAATTCATCCATTAAAATGCTAATTTATCAATGAAAAAAGAAGTGTAGAAGAGGATATATATTTTTCTCATGGGGGGGGAAACTATACAAAGATGGAGTAATTATGTATGTTATCTGTACATATAAATGAAAAGGATGCACTCCAAGTTTAACAGTGATTTCCTATGTAGAAAAGTTGTGAAGATGTTACCCTTACTTGCAAGCTAACAGTTTAACTTGCCACAGTTTTATGGATACTAGCAAAAAAAAAAAAAAAAAAAAAAACTAGACTCCCAGATCAGAAACAAAAGCCTTTATTACTTAATGACAAGCATGAACTTCATGTTCTCTTCCTCCCCACACCCAAAGCTGTGGTGTGGTGGGAGCTGAGTAAATGTTGTTCACACAGGTCCATTTGCATCCTAGTAAAGGAACTCCAAGCTTAGGAAACCCCAGTCTTTGTTCAATCTCGCCCCAAGGTGAGGCTTTTTTTTTTTTTTTTTTTTTTGGACTAGGGATTGAACCCAGGGGTGCTTAGCCACTGAATCACATCCCCAGTCCTTTTTATTTTTATTTTGAGATATGTCTAAGTTGCTGAGGCCTTGAACTTGCAATCCTCCTATCTCAGCCTCCCTCTCTGGGATTACTGGCATGTCACCACACCTGGCAAGGCTTTATTGTTATTGTCCTGCTTGGGAAACAAACCTGCCCTAAAAGTAGATAAAACATCATTGAAGAGATAATCTCAAAAATCTGCCACAAGACTTGGAGAAATTATAGAATTTGGGGAATTTTCTCTCAACAATTTAATAGCATTTGGGGGTCAGGTTTTTTTTTACATATATGTCTAGATTATAAATTTTGATCATCTCTTATTATATTAATTTTTAAGGAAAACAAGAATAAAAGGCAAGCAGAGAAGTTTAAATTTGTTTTCATAGGAGATAAGGAGCCACTCGATTAGTGATTGGGGAAATGATAATGATATTTAAGGACATGAATCTAATAATAACCATATTTAGAATAAATAAGACTATCTCATAGCTGTTGCAATCATGAAGGTATGCAGTAATTAGAATCAAGGATGTTGTTATGCTAATGAAGAAGAGTGTATGTCAAAGAAAAAATCTGATGGCTTCTCTTATATCTCCATATTTCATCTCAGTATATCAAAAAAGGCTCAAGATAATTTAGAAACTGATACTATTAATAACACTCAATGATAGTTGCATAAGAGGCAGCACTTCCTTTGGAGTAAATGAACAGGGAGATTGCAGACCAGCTGAGGACCTCTACAATTACCAAAAATGAAAACTACTTTCTTTGGGGTAAAGAATTTCATGATTCTTTACTCCTAAGCAGTGCTGTCTTTATTTTTCTCCCCCCTTGTTTCACTGTAATGGACAAGAATAACCTTAAATTCTGCTATACTTTTTTTAGGCCTTGGTCTTCCTAATTCATTATTTTCCAGCAATTCCTTAAATTTCTGATCCACTAATTGCACTCTTCTGTTTGCTAGCACTGTTTAAAAATGCATTTTTAGTTTTTCAGACTTAGAAGGGAGCGATATCTATGTCACTCTTCCAACCTGGTCTTGAAATAAGCCATATTCTTTTCTCCTTTTTCCCATTTTCTTATTTTTATTCACCTTACTTTTGGATTCTTATAGAAAACTTTCTGATTAAAGTGAAAGTGAAGAGCAGTAGGAAGTACACTTCTAGAGCAGGGGACACTGAGCAAAAGTGAGAGATTGAGTGAAGAAGCAGATATAAGAATCCATACACCATTTAAAAAGACATTAAAAGAGATTAATTCTACTCCTATCACTAAATTGTTTTGTTTTGGAAAATATTATTAATTTTCACAAAATATACTATTCAACTTGTCTTTGCTATTGTTAAAGATAATTATTTTTCAAGACAGGATCTTAGTGGTAAGCATTTACCCAGCACATCTGAGGCTAAAGGTTCAATCCCCAGCACCTAAAAAAAAAAAAAAAAAATTAAACGTATAAATCTGAGAGTAGACTTCTAGTCTGTTGTTAACTATCTCCAGTACCATGCCAGTTGGAGGCAAGAACTGTGAAATAAAGAGCAAAAATAAGTGCTTTGAAAGAGTCCAGAAACACTGTAACTTCTTGGTGTGTATTGTTATTTGTGTGATGATTAGATTACAAACCCATAAATCAAATGAAAACTACTACTAAGATTTTATCCTGAAAGAGGAGCAAAATATTTAGGAGTTAGAAATGAGGAAGTGTCAGAAACATTGGAGGTGGCTACCAATAGAAGCTGACTAAGATGGAGATTAAGGTAAAGTTTTGAAGGGGCACCTGAGAACGCATAAAAAATGGGTAGTTAGGAAAGGTACTGAAAGAATAAAAAAATTAAAAAGTGGGACCAAAACACAAAAATAAAACCTCCACCCACAAGTCCTATTTAGTTTGGAAAGTTAAAAGCTTTTGTACAAGAGGTATATAAGGGGCCAGGGCTGTGGCTCAGTGGTAGAACGCTTGCCTAGCATGTGTGAGGCACTGGGCTCGATCCCGGCACCACATAAAAATAAAAACAATAAAGGTTAAAAAAAAAAAAAAGAGGTATATAAATAACAAACACAGATTTGTCCCCTGAATTTTGTGGTCTTAAAACGGAGTCTATTCCTAAATCTTATATGACAGATTTAGCATTTAAAAAGCTAAGCGGTAAAAAAGGTTTTCCAAGAGTTTGCAATAAGAAGGATGGAAAATATGTAAAAATGCAAAAAGGATTTATGTTCAATTGCAATTAGTTATTGAATGTAAAGGGTACTATTCCTAGCTGTCATAGGGGATTTCCATAACAGAAATACGAACTATGAGTAGCAGGAATTACTCAAGAAATTTGCAGTCTATGGAGGACTCGATATACTTAAGAGAAAACAGTAAAATACAAAGTAACGGGCTGGGGTTGTGGCTCAGTGGTAGAGCGCTCGCCTCCCACGTGAAAGACCCTGGGTTCCGTCCTCAGCACCACATAAAAATAAACAAAATAAAGATATTGGGTCTATGTATAACTAAAAAATATTTTTTAAAAAAGTAACTAAGAGGGTCAAACTCAAATGAGTTATTAGCATCGCGAAGATCTTTTAAGTACTCCCTTCCCTTCTATTGCCAGCACAGGCCGGCCTTTGCACGCCCTCGGATCTGCCCCTGGGGACCGTTACCCTTGACAGTCAACGCCTGAGCTGACCAGGGTGCAAGGCACAAGTGACATCCAAATCCGTTAGTAGCCAGGACTTTCACGTAAGCGAACGCAGGAGGAGCCCAAGTCACAGTGTAACGCCCTGGAGAAACAAGGTGCTTTGGTCCTCTCAGTCGTCTGACCATAGAGCTGTCAGACCTCCTGGATTCCTAGAGAGCTCCCGGAAGTGCCTTTGGGGCAAGATGCGTGCTGGCCGGTGTTGTACCTCCACAGGTTTGGAAGTTGGTGGCTGTAGAGGCCTGGTCTAAGAGTATTTTTCGTACTGTTTTCTCCACTCCTTTTCTTTGTGTTTGCCCACCCTTTGCAGCCCCCTGACCCCACCCCGCGCAGCCTCTGGAACTCGCGGTGAGTACCATCGGGCTCCAGGCCGGAGGAAGGGGGGTCTCTTTGTGGCCGGAGCAGGCCGCAGCTAACGACAGGCCTGAGGGGTCCGGAGAGGGCGCCTGTGCGGTGGTCGGCGACTGGGGCTGAGTCTCACGCTGAGGGTCCTCTTTAGTTGTTATCTCAGGCGGAATACAAGTCCCCAAACTTTTTGTGAGGTAACCTGTTATGGGGGTTCGCCTTCTTCAAAGCTAATCGTTTTGTGGTATAATCTTGCCATCGATCTTATTTATCTTAATATAGGGAATTGCCCCGCGTTGTCTTTTATCCGACTATTTCCATGGTGTGAATTGTTTTTTAACTTAGTAATTTTACTTTTTGGTCTCAATAAAATCTCCTTTTTTTTTTTTTTTTGTTTGTTTTAAAGATGTTTTGTTGTAGAAGCCCCAGTTATCCATTTTTGCTGTTAGGTTATTCTTTTCTTTGATGGTGTGTTGACTGAATAATTGAACAAAAGAAACATTTCGACAACTTCAGGATAGTATGGTATCTTATTCAGAATAGTTTATTTAATTTATTAAAGCTAACTTTAGTAGATGCCTGAGAACTCTTTGGGAGGGTCTCATTTCCAAAACTCGAGTCAATAATGAATAATTTTTGTCACACTACTGTGAGTGGAACCACCATTTCTAAAAACATATTTTGTTGTTTGATTAGTTCTTTTGAGCACATTTATGGAAGCGTCTGTTTCACAAATGCACACGTTTTGAATTTTTTTGTGCATAAATGTTAAAAGTGGTAGGTGTTAAAATATTTAGCTAACACAATCTAAGATAACCAAAACAAAGTGTTTCCTTTACCTACTTTTCTTGATCTTGCATACCATGCTAGAGTTGGGTTCCCTGTAGAAAGATTCTAAAGGAGATGAGCTATATTACTTATTTGTTAAAAGGCTCCTTGGCAATATATTAGTTTCCTGAGGCTGTCCTAACAGTATCACAAAGTTGATGGCTTAATGATATAGAAGTTTATTCTTTGACAAATAGGGAAACTAGATATCCAAAATCAAGGTGTCATCGGGACTGTACTTTTCAAGCTTTTGGTTTTTACTAGTAATTGTTGGAATTACTTGGCTTGCAGCTGTGTAACTCTTGTCTCTGTAATCAAATGGCTTTCTTTTATCTGTAGGTCTTTGAAAAGGAGGCCTCTTAAGACATGACAGTCTCCCTCTGTGAGTATCTGAGTCTCTTCCCTTAAAAATATACTAGTCATGTTGGATTAAAGACTCACGTTATTCCAGTATAACCTCATCTTAATTTGATTATATCTGCAAAGACCCTAATTCCAAGGAAGGTCACATTTTCACATCCCAGAGGTTAGGATGTCTCTTTTCTGGGAATACCATTCAACCCCCAACACGTAGCATGTGAAACATTAATGAGAGAATGAATAACGAAAGATAAGAAGACCAGTTAACCACAGCAACCTTAGGCAAGAGATGATACTTATACCAAGGATAGAAACCAGAGATATATGTCCCACAAATACATAGGGCCATGAAATTAGACTCTTTTTGGACCTTAGATTTTTGTTTCTAACCCTTTTATAACAAACCTAGACATATTCTCTGTTAGGTATTATAAATAAAATAAGGTAATGTTCTTTGATTCTATTAATAAGATAAATCTGAATCCATGAGGAATATACATTTTAAGTTAGGAAGTAAAAACTCCCTAGCAACTAATAATCTTCAGTAATGGGAAAGCAGTATACATTTTTATAGAGAGAGATAGAGTAGTAAAGAAATAACTTCCAATTCAAGTGACAGTGTTTTCTCTTACCCTTATCCCATCAGCTCCAGAGGGGCTGAGACAGGAGAATTGTGAGTTCAAAGCCAGCCTTAGCAAAAGCAAGGCACTAAACAACTCAGTGAGACACTGCCTCTAATGTGGCACAGTGGTGGAGTGCCCCTAAATTTAATCCCTAGCTCCCCCCTCCCAGTCCCCCTGTTCCCCTGGTCTCCACCTCTCCACTGCCAAAAGAAGGAAGTTTGAAACAAAGGTGCCGATAAAGGTTTATACAAAGTCATGGTTTCCCCCACACCCAGATGAAGGTTAGTGCTAGATATCTGGCCCAGAAAGTTTCTTCCCAGGGTAAGATCACAAACTCCATCAGGAGAAGTAGATCCTGGGCTTGTATGTTGGGCAATGAGTAATAACAGAAGGGCACTAGCTATGCTGGGCCTCCTGTCCCTTAAAGGAGGCTGGATTTGGATTTGCAAGACAAACTTTTAACTTACCTCAGGAGGGAAATGTAGTTCCTGTCTGTCTCAAAGCCCTGAAGAGAGAAGTGTTTATGTTGTGAATCTCAGTGCTGAAACTTTATGTTTAATGACATGAAGTCATTAAGAAGCAGGTGCTCAAAGATGGAGGTGGGAAGAGGTCGTTTGGGCACAAATGAAAATGAAGAGCAAGATTGAAGTTCATGAAATGGAAAACTCAGTGTTGTTAAAATGTCATTTCTAACATTGTTGTCAATATTAAGATATCCCTAGCTGAGGTTGTGACTCAGAGGTGGAGCACATGCCTAGCATATGTGAAGTCCAGGGTTTGATTCTCAGCACCACCTCCCCACCCGCCCCTAAAAAAAGAAGAAAGGAAGAGAAAGAAAAGATATTCTTAAAATAAGCTGTACATTCAACAAAGATCGATTCTAGGATTTTTTAACAGAATTGAAAAAGACAAAAACAGTTTCAAAAACAACAAAGTTGCAAGACTCAGACTGCTTGATTTTAAGACTTGAAAATCCACAACAATCTAGACAGTTTTGTATCTGTTAAATTTACATCAAGGGAACAGAATATAGAATCTAGAATTGGGCCCACATATCTATAGTCAATTGACTTTTGACAAGAGAAATAAAGAGAGTAGATAAGGGACAACCCTTTCTGCAAATGGTGCTAGAAGTGTGCAAGGGGAAAAAATCCATATCTCAAACTCTGAGAAAAAATTAAAATATCCATACCTCAAACTCTGAGAAAAAATTAAAATGTAAAACATAAAACTTCTAGAAGAAAATCTTTGCGATTTGGGGTTAAGCAAAAGAGTTCTTAGATAGGACATCAAAAACAGTCCTTAAAAGAAAAAAAATATATTGAGGAATTAGACTTCAGAGAAAATACAGACTCGTGTTCTCCAAAGGCCACTGTTTAAAGAATAAACGAAAGACATATCTGTAAATTGCATATCACATAAAGAACTTGTATCCAGAATAAATACAGAATTCTCAAAATTTGAAAAAAAAAAAAAAACTCCAAGTAGGCAAAAGTTTCCAGTAGATACTTCACCAAAGAGAATAAACATGGCAAAAAAGCACATAAAATACATAAAAAGATGCTCAACATCTACAGGTGGGTAAGGAAGGGTAAATTTAAATGAGATACTACTACATATAGAATATCTCATTTTAGAAACACAATTATCAGGTACTGGCAAGGATATGGTGAGTACCTGCATCTCTCATTTATTGTTAGTGCAATACAAAATGTTACAGCCACTTTGAAAAACAGTTTGACACTTGGTTATAAAGTTATACATGTGTTTTTATGACCCAACAATTTTAGTTTTGGACAATTTACCCAAGTGGAAAAGCATTATATTCATATAAAAACTAATGTGCAAATGTGCATAGTGGCTTTATTCATAATCATCAAAAGCTGGAAACCACTCAGATTATCTCTCCATTGGGGAGTGGATAAACATTGATTTGTATAATGAATAAACTACCAGTACATACAACATTGTGTAATTTCAAATGTATTATGCTAAGTGAAAGACTGAAAAGAATATTTACTGTATTTTATTTATATTTTAGAATGTTATTGGTGTGTGGGATTCAGTTTTTGCATTTAGATGTTCCTGGAGCATGCAGGTTTCTAGGAGATTCACTGTTCCAAAAAGAATTCTGAAGCTAGACTTGAGGTCCAAAGTAGATTAGTCTTGAGATAGGAGGGAAATTGGGTGGGCATGGGCATTGATGCTAAATGTTAGGTGGAAAAAAGGAAAGTTCTTCCTCTTGAGCTAGATTATATGGAAATTAGTCTTATCAATGAGAGAAAGGTTGAAAAAATATGTAGAAACAGTTTAGTGTAACTGGTGAAATAAAGAATGCTAACAGGGGTTAAAGCACCAGCTGAAGTTAAGCACAGAATTTCAGTTAGTCCAAGTCTCTATGGTTTCCTGCTTTGTTTAACCATCCTCCAAGACCCTACAGAGAAAGCAGAAGGAAGGGATATTTCCAGGGTGGGTTTGGCATGACAGAAGCTTAAGGAAATGTAAGGAGTTATTGCTGGAACATATACATAGTTGAGCCATTAAGTCTGTGTCTTGGGGGTGGAGCTTGTTAAGCTGTCTTAGTCATTATGACTCATAACTTGCTTTAACACTATTTTTTATTTTCTCTTTCTGAAGAAGTATTCTTGAGGCCCTCAGAAGGTTCTTATCTTAAGAAGGAAAAGAAGGTAGTAAAAACAAGTTTCCCRAGTTTTTCTGGCCCTAAATGGCTGCGGAATCAAGAAAGCTTTCTTCAGCCCCATCTCTACCTGACCAGACTCCTGAAGAAGACCTTGTAATCGTCAAGATAGAGGAAGATCATGATTGGGACCCAGAATCTAGCCTGCATGAAAATAACCCTCCTGGCCAAGAACTATTCCGCCTACGCTTCAGACAATTGTGCTACCAGGAGACTCTAGGACCCCGAGAGGCTCTGATCCAGCTCCGGGCACTTTGCCATCAGTGGCTAAGGCCAGATTTGAACACCAAGGAGCAGATTCTGGAGCTGCTGGTGCTGGAGCAGTTCCTGACTATCCTTCCTGAGGAGCTGCAGACTCTAGTTAAGGAACATMAGTTAGAAAATGGAGAAGAAGTGGTGACCTTATTGGAGGATTTGGAAAGACAGATTGATATACTAGGACGGCCAGTAAGTTGAAGCTGTACATGCTGTGATTGTGGGAGTCCTGGAAACTGGGTAGTGTGTTTTTGTAAAGAGTATAATCCATACTTTATTATTATAACATCCCTACAACTGTATTGTCCCTGTTTGCCAGGTGGGAACCTGAAAAATTTAAGATAGGAAGCTTAAATTATCTTTTTAGGAGCACCCAAATAATTAAAAGATGGATCTGAAGTCAGAACTCGGTGTCCCTAGTTCCTCATCAAAAATGATTTTTGCCACTTTATGGCACTACTTTAGGTAGTAGTTTGTCTTTTTTTTTTTTTTTTTCCTTCCCCTTGCCTGGGAGCATAAAATATTGGTGTTCTGTGTAGTAGTGAGGGCAAAATCTTTTCCCTAAGGACTGAGAAGAAATGCCTTTCTTTCAGTCTAGTTCACATGATTGTATTCTTTTCTACCCCTAGGGAAAAAAAAAGAAATCCTACTGTTTCTTCCCAAAGTGTGTATCCCTGAAGATAGGCTGTTGGTCCTCTTATGTTGTTCACTTCATTTCTCAAAGGGATTTCTTATAATCCAACTGTCCCATTGTTTCTAGGTCCCAGCTCGAGCACATGGACATAGGGTACTCTGGGAGGAAGTGGTTCCTTCAGAATCTGCACCAGAACCTCCAAGTACTCAGCTCCAACCTGTGATAACCCAGCGTAAATCACAGGACAGAGGTGAGGAGTCAGATTTCATAGGAATGAAAAGACACATTTGGGACCTGTCTAGTTCCTAGAAAATCAGAAGCTAGAACTACTATTTACAGACCAGCTCAATATCTGAATTTAAATTTATCTAGATTTCAAATGCAGGCTGTTAGTCCTAGTGGTAAACTTATGTACAAATTAAAGGATTTAGAGATTTTTAAGTAGTCACACATTTCTATTACCCCAGTGTATTTACAACATAAACATTTTTGAGATTTTGCTCATATCATAATACATCACTTGTGAATATTGAAATATGCATTTCCTCAAACATGTGCATTTTGTAGATAACTACAATAAATTAAACACAGTAGGAATGTAAAAATGATGTAATATTAATCTTGTCCATAGTTCATATTTTGCCAATTGCCCCAATGATTTTTTTTTKGTCCAGTCTAGACCAAAACAAAAAAATACAATTTTCTTTAGTTCCCTTTAATTTGACATAGTTTCTCATTCTTTCTTTCTTGTTCATGCTCTTGATAGTTATGAAGAATACAAATATGATGTTTTGTAGCACAGCTACAATTTGGATTCTTGTAATATTTTTCTCATGTTTAGGTTCAGGTTGTATATATTTGGCCAGAACACTTCAAAAGTGATGTTGTATTCTTTTCAGGGGTACAACATAAATTTGTCCTATTGGTGATGTTGTCTTTGATGACTTAATTAAAGTTATTCTTGCAAGGTTAATCATTGTAAAGTTACTGATTTTCCCTTTGCATTAGTAAATAATTTGTGGAGAGTTATGTTTGAGTTTGTGTAATCCTAATCCTCATCAAACTTTTGCTTCTTAAAAAATACTAGTTTTGGTATTCATTGATGCTTCTTTACTGAGTGATTACTAAGCTGGTTAGAAAAATTATGATTTATTTTTTTAACTGTCACTCCTTCTACGTTTATTTGTTGTTTATTTTAAGAGAGCATTTTCTTCTTTTGTTATCAGCATAGACTCATAAATTCTTATTTATCCCATAAATATTCTGTTATAGTCTTTCAATTAATGCTTGCATCATTTGAAAGGCCTCATGATTCTGACTCCTGTAGCTTTTTGACATTTCACTGTCATTTTTTGAGAATTTCYTTACTTTCTTGAAGAATAATATGTTTCAATCTCATTTTCCCCTGCATTACATTTTTTCTTTATTTATTTTTTAGTTTTAGGTGGACACAACATCTTTATTTTTATGTGGTGCTGAGAATCGAACCCAGTGCCTCACACATGCTAGGCAAGCGTGCTACCGCTTGAGCCACATCCTCAGCCCACATTAAGGGTGTGTTTTTTTTTTTAATTATTTATTTATTTATTTATTTTTGGTGTGGTTCCTTTTTTTTTTTGGAACTGGGGGGTCGAACCCAGGGCTTTGTGAATGCAAGGCAGACACTTTGCCACTGAGCTACATCCCAGCCCACATTTTTTCATATATGTGATTTATAGTTGTTTATTTTATGTAAGTGAATTTTAATATTTCAAAACAAGCATAGAAACTCGATTACTAGTATAATTCTTACCTGAAGAATAAAAGCCTATTACTCAAGACACATCCTATGTTTAATTTGGTAATAAGTGGTCTCATATCCAGTGGAAGTAGAGACTGGCTACTAGGATACACATTTCAGAAAGGTAATTGAGTTAATAGAGATAGATTGTTTTTCATTTTTAGTTTGCTAGGAGGTTAGGACTTAAAGGAGTACTATTCACAAGCACAAAGATATTAGTTTGGGTGATAGAGAAAGAATTGAAAGGGAATTTCTATTAGGAAACCAGTATGCTTTTTCCTTTTTTTAATTACAGGGGAGGAAGTGGGGTTTGAAATAAGGGGCATTTTACCACTGAGCTACATCCCAGTCCTTTTTATTTTTTATTTGAGATAGRATCTTGCTGAGCTGAGGCTGGCCTCAAGCTTGTGATCCTCCTGCGTTAGCCTCCTAAGTTGTTGGAATTATAGGTGTGTACCACCACCCTGAGATCCACTTTATATTTTTGAGCATGACTTTAGGCTGCATTTAAGGACATCAAAGTGCAGGTGTTTTGTGGGCAACTGTAGGTATGAGCCCAGAGTCTAAGATATCAGCATTCTACATGCAAAATCTTCAGCATGCATATATGCTGAAATACAAATAATTTGGAATGGTTAAATACCAGCTCCCAGACCCATAGGACAAGACTGGTCTCATTTATAACTCCTTTCTCCTCAGCCCTGTCTGCTTCCCAGAATCCTACCTCTTCCCAAAAAGGAAGTTCCAGAGACAAGGAAGTAACAGCTACACTTCTCACAGCAGGGTTCCAGGTACGTTGCATGTTCCTTCTCACTAAATCCCCATAGCTCTGGTTAGCATCTGCCCTAAATTTGGACTGTCTGTAGTAGTACCTATTCAAGAACTTACCTGGACTAGGGTTGTGGTTGTGGCTCAATGGTAGAGTGTTTGCCTAGCACATGTGAGGCACTGGGTTTGTTTTCAGCACCTCTCTCTCTCWCACACACACACACACACACAAATAAATAAATAAAAAATAAAGGCATTATGTCCATTTACAACTAAAAAAATTTTTTTTTGAAAAGAACTTACCCAAATTCTTTTGCACAGTGATAAATAAATTTAACAATGAATATAGCATATTTCCTTTTTCCCAGCTGTTCACATCCCTTTTCACGGTACATTTCCATTATTTAATACATTGGTAGGTCTCTCTTACATTCTAGACTTGAGCTGTAAAAACACTTGTATGCCCCAAATGAGGATCTTGTTTTGTTTCAGACTTTGGAGAAGATTGAAGATATGGCTGTGTCCCTTATTCGAGAGGAGTGGCTTCTTGATCCATCACAGAAGGATCTGAGTAGAGATAATAGGCCCGAGAATTACAGAAATATGTTCTCCCTGGGTAAGGAGAGCTTATGAATATCATTTAAGTTTTTTTGTTTGTTATATACGTGATATCTATGAGCTTTCTGGGAAATATAGTTGAGTTGAAACTCAGGATTCATCAGAAAGGGATACAACATTAAGCCTCCTTGAGGTTTAAAACTTAAACCTTCCTTCTCTAATACAGAAATTCCTCATAGTTTGTACCTGGGTCTTGGTCCAGTTGGAAATTGACATCTCACTAGTGCTCTCTTAGTTCCTGTATTTTTTTCCTCCCAATTCTCGTAGGATCCTGACATAGATTATCACATAAACCTTCCTTTTCATGAATGAGGCATTTGCCCATTTCTGTGCCATTCATTAAACCTTTTAGTAGTTCCATGTTCTTCCCACTTCTTACTTGATTCCTTCCCAACTCCTGTCCCCCATCAGTAATCCTCTTTTTTTGTTCATGGCACCCCTTCCCAATTGGCCTATGGTACTTCTGTGTGATCCTGCACATCTTCCCCCTGTTATAAGCCATTTTGAAGACTAAAGTTTTGTATTTACTTGTATTATTCCATATATATTTTCCTTTTCTCCTATCTTCAATTCCTTTCTTCCAGCTTAGAGAATAGGAAATAACATTGGCTTAATTTTTATTATACTTTTATTTCAGGTGTTGAGACCAGGAATGAGAACAAGGAATTAGCTTCAAAACAGGTAATATCTACTGAAGTACAACCACATGGAGAGACAGCTGCCAAATACAACGGGGATGTTATCAGGGGTCTTGAGCATGGAGAAGCCCAAGACCTGGGCAAATTAGAGAGGCAGCAGGGAAATCCCACACAAGAGAGACGACATAAGTGTGATGAATGTGGGAAGAGCTTTGCTCAGAGCTCAGGCCTTGTTCGCCACTGGAGAATCCACACTGGGGAGAAACCCTATCAGTGTAACGTGTGTGGTAAAGCCTTCAGTTATAGGTCCGCCCTTCTTTCCCATCAGGATATTCACAACAAAGTAAAACGTTATCACTGTAAGGAGTGTGGTAAAGCCTTCAGTCAAAACACAGGACTGATCCTGCACCAGAGAATCCACACTGGGGAGAAGCCGTATCAGTGTAATCAGTGTGGGAAGGCTTTCAGTCAGAGTGCAGGTCTTATTCTACATCAAAGAATCCACAGTGGGGAGAGACCCTATGAATGTAATGAATGTGGGAAAGCTTTCAGTCATAGCTCACACCTCATTGGACATCAGAGAATCCACACTGGGGAGAAGCCCTATGAGTGTGATGAGTGTGGGAAAACCTTCAGGCGGAGCTCACATCTTATTGGCCATCAGAGAAGCCATACTGGGGAGAAGCCCTACAAATGCAGTGAGTGTGGGAGGGCCTTCAGTCAAAAGTCAGGCCTTATTGAACATCAGAGAATCCACACTGGAGAAAGACCCTATAAATGTAAAGAATGTGGGAAAGCTTTTAATGGGAACACTGGCCTCATTCAACATCTGAGAATCCACACAGGGGAGAAGCCATACCAATGCAGTGAGTGTGGGAAAGCCTTTATTCAGAGGTCAAGTCTCATACGACATCAGAGAATCCACAGTGGAGAAAAATCTGAATCCTTAGGAGTTTAGTAAAAGCTTCGGTCACAGTTTGAACATTTTTCAACATTAGACAAACCACACACTGGTGGAGAGGTCTTTCATTTAGTAAAAAAGGCAGAAAGTTCGTCATCATCATTTAGTAGCAGAATTTATAGTGATATCAAAGATAGAATAGCTCTTCAGTAGTTTGGGCCCAGTGCCTTGACACCCAGGTTGATTAGCTTGATTGTTTTTGGTGATATCTAATGGAGTAGAGCTTCCAACAGCCTAATACTATCTTAGAAATTTAAAATAGCATTAGAGCAATTTATTTGTCATGGCTTGAGGCACTAAACTTTGTGTTTTGGGTGAGTAACTATAGTTTTGAGAGAGGCTGCTACTCCTAATTCCTCTGCTTCCCATGGCCTGTGATCCCCTTCTCTCATTTATTCCCCTCAAGGTGCCCTTGTACTGCTAATCTGATCCAAGAAACTGCTGCAGCATCCAAAACAGCCTCTTTGTGAGATTTATATTTATATTTAGCTTTCTGAGATCCTAGTTCTAGGGAAATTTTACAGACAATGTGTTTCTTTTTTTTATTCTAATGTTCCTTCTAGTTGATGAAAATCTATATTCCCATGCAAACTCAAAATGCTATATTTTTAACAGCACTCCAGCATTTTTCTTCATTTATCACCTTTACTGACTCCACTAAATCATTGAGCATCTGTACGTATCCTTCACCACCCCCAGTCCCAGTACCTGTGTCAGCAAAGGAAGTGGACGCATTAGATGGTTGTGAGAGTGATGCAGAGAAAGAGGTGAGTGGAGGCTCAGCCTGGCTTTTCTTGAGCTTGGATAGTTACACCTTGGTGACTTCTGATTCTCCTTCCACCTCCCAACTCTACCCTGATACAAAAAGTATTTGCACTCTCTTAGTTATGATATCACATAGGATAAAGAGGAGACAGCTGATGCTTGAAGAAAGAATCCTTAAAAAGAATAGGCATCATCCCTTCTGGCCCATTACAGTGCCACTCTTGTAGGTTCCTATCAATCTTCATCAACTCCCTGAATAGATTGTCTATCATTCTTATCATTACTCTGGACCTACCTCCTTATATGACCTCGGCACCTCATTTATCATTTCTCATCTGTTAATTCCCATTTGTTTGTATGACTTATATATCCACAATTGTAATTTGTTAAATACCTTACCTCACAATTCCTCGTTCTTCTGAGTTCTGATGTTGTCCATCAGTAATCGTGTCTGTAATCTACCAATAAAGACACTATTAAATTTATCATCTCCAGGCATTGTATTTCATCTTTCAGGCTTTTGGTAAACCAAGGGATACTGTGTAAAGTAAAGAGACTGATACAAAGTAACGTGCCAAATTTGATGCATTCTACATAGGATGTCCTTTAAACTAGGTAGTTTACTTATTCTAAGTACTATATTCCAAGAGTTCTATTCCTCTGAATATTTGGAACATTCTTAGAATTCTCATTTAATAAACCATACAAGAAAACCCTCTTTTAGTCTTAGTCTTTTATTTCTTTTATTCACCAGACTTTGAATTGAATAACTTGCTTTTCAAAATTAACCTTCAAACTTGAAATTATTAATTACATTAAGTCTATTCAGAAGACAGTTACATGGGTTCTGATGAAAACTCCAAGAGAAATAATGCAGTTTCACACTGTAACAATCCTGAAAGAGAATAATAATCATGTTGGTTTATGATTGATATGTTAAAAAGCCAATCATAAAACCTTACCTCATAGATGTACAACTTTGGAACAATCAGAAATTTCTTCTCTATAACATTCCTCTCTACCTCCCTATAGCCCACCTTGAGTATCTACAACATGAAGATTATTATCTGCATTTATTTCATAAAACCATCAGTACCTTCATATCACCAGTCATCCTAGTTTGCTTGGTTAACTTCTTCAGAACAGTTCATTTTGTTATCCTTTCTTTTCTTCTCTTTTGGTACTAGAGATTGAACACAAGGGCACTTAGCCACTAAGCCACATCCCCAGCCTTTTAAAATATTTTATTTAGAGACAGGGTTTTGCTGAGTTACTTAGGGCCTTGCTAAGTTGCTGAGACTAGCTTTGAACTCCTGATCTGCCTCAGCCTTGTGAGCTACTGGGATTACAGGTGCACCACCACGCCCAGCTCTTCTTATTCTATTTTCTTATTCTCTTTTTCTTTCCTTTTTTTTTTTTTTTTTTTAACATATAGATGACCATTCCTAATTCCTGTACTTTAAATTTCAACAAACCAGAAACAAATCTGATTGTGTCTAGATCCTTGCTTTGTTTCAGTTGTGCCTTACCCTTTGAAAGATACTAATTCTGCATGGCATCAGTGCTACCTTGTGTGCATAGGATGGGTATGTTAGAAGGAAAATACACATTTGTGCATACATATGTATGTATCCATACACTCCTCTTACATATTTTAGGAAAACACTTGCCTTCAATTCTAAAACAAAGCTCTTTTAACCGAGCAACATAATGTTTATAAGTATACTAGCCAATGTTTCTTTAGATATCAGTACCCAGAGTAGTGTGTAGCCAGATTACTTAAACCTCAAAATTACTAAGCATCTGGCAGAAATTCAGAGGAAAAAAAAAAATAGTACAACTAGGAATGTTAGTGTTAAACTTGGGTGAATTTGAGAAAAGATTGTCACTTGAAAGAATTATCAAAGCTGATTCATCCTGGTGTGATGGTGCATGCCTGTAATCCCACTGAGGCAGGAGAATCACAGTTTCAAAGCCAGCCTCAGCAACTTAGACCCTGTTTTCAAAAAATGAAAAGCACCCTGGGTTCACTTCTCAGTATGGCCTCCCCAAAAATGCTGATTCAGCATATTATATAGAAATAGCCAGGTGATTTAAGATTAGATTCTTTGAAGACATAAGTAAAAGTCATTCTTTGTCTCAAGTTCTCTTACCACTCAAATATTTAAAAAAAWTTTTTTTTTTAGTTGTAGATGGACACAATACCTTTATTTTTATGTGGTGCTGAGGATTAAACCCAGTGCCTTCCACATGTGAGGTGAGCACTCAACCATTGAGCTACAACATCATTTTGAACTTTTAACTCTGAATTACATATATTATGCTCCTTTATCTGCAGATTCTGTTTTTATGCTCTTAATCTGAAATGAACTATTCATCAGTGCTTTCTTTCATCCTCAGTTTCTAGTTTTAGGAACTGGCATGATAAGGTGGTTCTTCCATAACTCTTTTGCCATCCAACATAGTCCAAGGAGAGGTATCTTAGGTTTCAAAGACTTTCCCCATGAGGCAAGGTAGCAGTGCTAGAATAGTTGATTCACTTACGAAACTGCTTAGCTTTACTCTTGGTTCTAAGTCTCCATATAATAGCTGGCATTTATTGAGTACTTACTTTATGCCAAACCCTATGTTAAGCATTTCTCCTGCTTATAATAGTTATTGTTATATGCTCCATTTTATAGATAATTAAGGAGGCAGAGAAAGCTGAACATTAAAGACATGTATCCCTGGTAATAAGAGGTATTGAGTAAATGCCAGCATAGGTACTGGTATAATACAAATTCATTATAATAACTGGAAAATTGGTTGAAAAATACCATTTTGGTTTATACTTTCTTTAAATGTTGGTTCTCTTGATGCTTTTTAGTTCTTGAAAGCTAAATTATATAAATAAAATCTTTAAAAGAGTAACTGGGAAAATAAAGCAATAATAACTTAGATTAAAACACATTTCTCCAAATTGCCTAAGGGAAAGTAGAATTATGGAGGGAAATGAAACCTTCAGTGTTCCAGGCTGGGGAGATAGATTGCTAGGATGACAATTGTAAGTTTATCAAAAGCATAAAATGTAAAGAACCTTCAACTTCTTTGCCCATTTCCAACAACCATTTTGTTTGTCTTCTCAACCCTGGTTTTCCAGATATCATTCATTTTTTAACCCATTTTCTCCTTGATTTATTAGTAAAATTTCTCCTTATTAGCTTTCATACTCACCATATTGAAATGTCCTTAGACTCTCCAGTGGATAAATAGAAAGGCTTTTTAACTTTTTTTTCTTATAGTTCTTGTCCGTTTTAGTCTCCTTTATCTTTAATATTATTGAATCTCTCCTGCACCTCAGGGATACTCTTCTCCTTTGATTTGTGGGATCCTTTTAGATTGTTTTTATTCAATATCTGGCTTTTCTTTGTTAGTCTCTTCAATTTTCCTCCGTTCTACTGAAAATAATGTCTTACTGCTTTTTCCATATCCCTATTTTTCTCTTTTGTTTTCTTTGTATATTTGAGTGGCTTCCTGTTTCCCACCCTGAGTGCCATCTCACAATTTTTGGAATTTTCCAGTTACCTGTATAACTTGATATTTGAAAATAAAACTCATCACTCTTCTGAACCAGTCTCCATTTTCTTTTCAAATGGGCATCATTGCTTAACTGCTTTGCCCTGAAGAGACTCATTACCTTTCCTATTTTTTATCCCAACATTGGAATTACCTTTTCATCATTTTTTGCTCTCCAATTTCCTTATCCAAAGTCTTGCTGTTGACTCAATTTTTAGTTGATGTTCTCTTTGAATCATGATCTTTTACATTTCTGCCATCCCTTTATGGCTTTTCATGAAGATCCACATAATGTAAGGCCCAGGTACTGTAATTCTTTCTTTTCAATTTCCTGGTCCTCAGAATTCCCATCTTGTATAAATCTTCTAAAATGATCCTCCAAACTCCATTTTCATAATGATTTATTGTTTATTCAGTACCCAGCAGGTAATTCCTGTCAGAACAGTGATGTTCCATTACACCATAATGGTATAGAATGGTTCCAGAACACCATAATGGTGTTCTCCATTACCTTGCCCTCCATACTTAAATGCCTTCAGTCTTCATTATTCCCTAGCATGTTCATCTTGATTCACCACATTTAAACTTCCTGTAGCCTTCTACTGCTGTCTTAAAACCCTTGCCTTTGTGCCTTTCTCATGCTGTTCTTTTTGCTTACATTAATCTTTGGC